AGATCTAGCATTTTTACAACATCTGCTGTAAACAACAACAGCTGCAAATACTCATTTTACTCTTTTCGGAAATCTTAGAGGTAAAGAGCTGCTTTCTGCAGGAAATACATGCAGGGGCTCAAAACAATGTTGTCCTTGTTCTAAAAAAAAAACAATCACAGTGAGGTGATGTTGGTAAAAAGAATAGATTTTTTTTTAGAATATTTCTTAGTAGATATTAGTTTTTTAAGTAAGATCAGAATCATCTGTAATGTGTAGACAGCAGATATCAGCCACAGGATGGTCAGTTCATCCCTGGTTATAAATGACATGTAGGTTGATATAAATAACGGTTTTCACTTTTGATTTTTTTTCCCCATCTTTGCCAGGATGCTATTAGAAAGATCTAATTGTTAAGAGCTGTTAAAAAGTTCTTCTCTGTTAAGAACTCAGTCCTGTCCTGTGTTTGATAACCAACCAAATTTGTTTTTACATAAAAACATGCGGCTAATAACGGCTACATCTCCAAAGGCCGTATTAAGGCAACGATTGTTAACAGTGACCTGTCAGGTCAAAATTTTTCCTTTTAGGGTAAAACACAGACATCATAGAACAGAGATCTTGGAGTAATTATGCTGCAATCAGAGCTTTTCCCACAGAAATGTGAACATACTTATTGGGGATACTGTGGATCTTCAACCAATTCACATCTCCTCCTTTTTTTGTTCAGTGGTTCTTGTAGTTAGAAGAAAATGCCTCTTTTTTTTTCTTGACTATGTTAGTTTAAAAAAATCCCCACCATTCCACTATGTCATTCGTTCTGATTGTTTCTGGCAAACCTAGAAATTTGTTAAAAGCAGCGTAATACAAAATAATATAAGTAACTCTTTTATTTTTTAGCTGACTGCTAAAAACATCCAGTGCATGAGGACTCTGCTGAATCTGGCTCACTGCCACGGCGCGGTGCTGGGGACGTCCTGGCAGCTGGTGCTGGCTACACTCCAGGTAACACAGACGCGTTGTTTTTCTCATTTATTTTAAACTATCATCAAATTAAAGTTCATGATTGCAACATGTCCTTTGATTGGGGTTTTAGGCACTTTGCACTCAGTCTATGTGTAAATAATTAAATTTTGCTTTTAAAAAATGAAATCCAGAACTTTAAAACAAACAATTTCCTCATATTTAACTAAGTTTAAAAAGTAGAAGCCTGTTTTTTTGTTTTGTTTTGAAACCCGAAATCGAGAAACAAACAAAAAATTCGATTTGTTTTTCAATTCCAAAACAACAAAGGAAAATGAAAAAACAAATCTAGACATTCTTTCCAGATTCAACTCTTTCCTTTATCAGTCGTGTGCGCATCCACACTGCTATGGACACGATACAATTCTATTTGTCTATTTTGACATAAATGACAAGGACTCCCTGTAAGCTAGCCTGTAAACAGTACTGCTCGGGACCAGGAAGTAGAGCATTAGCCTCGAGGCATCAGATCTTTATAGCTTTTTATTTCAATACAATGTATTTTTGTATTTACAATGATGCCCCAAACACGAGCCCTCTGAAGCCGATCCGTGCAGTTTGGACCGAACTAAAATCAGTTAACCATCCTCAGCTTGGTATTTATGACTATTTACAAATTAGGCTAGCACGGTTACTCACCTCCTATCAGCGATCCACGACACAACAGCTCTCAAGGCGGGAATTACGCAAACAAAAATGGCGGCTCCTGTAAAATTCAGGAGCTTATTCCAAAAAAGTTAAAAAACCAATCCACTCAATTTTGTTTCCAAGTTTGAAGATGTTTTGCTTCCGATCCAAGAAGCTTTTTCAGTACAAAATGTCAGAAATAGCGTTGAGTTCCGCTATCATCGCAACCCCCACCCATTACAGACGACCAGAACACCATGCCTCTTCAGCCAGGCCGACAGTTCCCTTTAACGACCCCCCCTTTCAGAGACATAGACAGGTTTTGGGTATTACAGGCTAACGAAGGAACCAAAATACTCCCATTCCAAAGGGGTGGACCCGCTCGTCAGGTTCAATTTGCTTGTTTCTAAGTCATAACAAGTCTTTGTTTTGGTCCACTCTATAAAGGCTCGGACTCGACGCTATTTCTGACATTTACCTGGATTGGAAGTGAAACGTCTTCAAACTTGGAAACCAAGTCCAGTGGATTGTTTTTTTTTTACTTTTTTGCAATGGCTGTGACCTGGATGACTTAGAAACTTCTTCAGCATATTATGGAATTTATGTTCGTTTATATTAGTGATATTTCAACGTTTCCAGAATGTCAGGAGAAGAAGGCATCCTTCTCGGCCTCAACATCATCCCAGGTCGCACCACGCTCTTTTGATGGCATTCATTGTTAATAGGCTAGAAGAAGTTGTTGTGAACAGGTGAAGATGTTTGTGAATTACGACAGAAAACATGTGAAATGGATCAGCTGACTGTAAATAGGAGATGATGCGGTCTTTGTTATCAGAGAACCGAGCCACAGATGAACCGCGCCGAGCCCTACTGTTGAACTAGTACTAGATTTAGCATGGTTTGGTTGTCTCTGGCACTGTCTGGTTCAGTTGCGTTCCATCTACACTCAACAGCTATCTCTGTTATCGTGCTCAGACAGTTCTCAGCACGATTACAAAAGGGTAGTGTAAAAGGGGCATCACCAAACTGGCAATAATAACTGAGAATACAATAGTTCAGACAAAAAATAATGGTGCAAAGTCTCATTTCCAAAACAAAACAGAGTGGGAAGGAGGAGATGATTTTGGAAGAAAAGAAGTCTTAAACTGTTTTATTACTTTTCTTTTTTATTTTACAAATAAAATGGATTAAAGGTTGTTTTTTTGTTTTTGTTTTTTTTTTCCAATTTGGGATCTTCGAAGAAATCAACAAATGGGCTTTTTTTTTTCCATTTGGAAATTTGGAAACTGTTTTCTTATTTTGGATTTCTCATTCCAGCCAGCATCAGTGTAAATGTCAAGATGTTCACTGATCTGTTATTTTAGTTTAGGAATCGGTTCTTTAAGTGGTTTCAGATCAGCCTTGTAAAGTCAGAGGTGACTTTGTTTGTCTTCCAGCATTTAGTCTGGATTCTGGGACTAAAACCAGCGGTTGGTGGAGCTCTGAAACCTGGCCGAGCAGTGGAAGGACCTAGTACAGTGAGTTTCTGTTTGTATTTGTTACTCTAGAGATGCATTTCACATCTGTGGGCTGTATTTTACCTTGAATTGTTCCATTGCAATGTCCAAAATTATCCTGTCTATGTAAAACGTTCCCATTGATGCTGAGAAGGAGAAAATGTTTGCTTTTGCTTTCAGCCATAACATTTAAATGCGATCATCAGATTAATACTGCATTATTCTTAGAAGGTTTCATTAAGACTTTTTTTTTTTAGATAAACCTCATCATTGCAAACTTACTGTAAACATATTGCAGTTGTGGATTTGAATACATTGGGATAACCAGAGCACTCTGCTCAGATACAAGTTTTTTAAGAGAGAAGAAAAGAAAGCAAAGAAAAGCTTTCATTTGATTCTGTCAGAGTGGGAAACACTAACCAGCTGGAAATGGGATTTTGTGATGCAGAAATTAGTTTCCCTCACATTCAAGTTGAAAACATTGGAGTTGATTGAAATCAGTTTAAGGTCAGAGGAAGTAAAAAAACAGCAGTTTTGTATCTTGAGACATATCCTCAGTGAAATGACTTATTGTCATTTTATATACATAGTGTATGAAACACGAAATCTCGTTTTGTACAGCTTTCATTACATTTCCATTTCTTAAAGTGCAGCAGTGATGAAATATAAGCAGTGTGGAAGAAAAAACATTGTGCAAAAAAATGCATTGATATGGAATTTATATCAAGTTATGTTGGTGGGGAGACTGGAGACGATTTG